CCCCCGCCCCCGACTTCCAGCAGCTTCCAGCGCCCCCTCCCCACCTCGCGCGCTCTCGCGCCAGACAGCCCCGCGACCCAATGGCGGCGCGGCGCCCCGACGACCACAGCCAATCAGAGGGCGCCGGCTGCGCCGCGCCCCTCCCCCGTGCCGAGGACCCCGGCCAGGGGCCCGGGTTCCGCCGGAGGGCGGCCGGCGGCGCCGTGTAGCGCGTTACCCAGTGGGAGCATGTGAGGGCATCTTTGCCTCCCTCCCCCTGTATTTCTCCTCCCTGCAGAGTGTAGCGGCCCCCTTACCCTTCTTTAGGAGGGACAGTGGACAACAAAGGGGCGCGAGGTGGCGGCCAGACAAAGGGGCGATGTGAGGGACGCGATCGAGCCAGCGCCTGGGGAAGTTGGGGACAAAGCTGGAGGCTGGGAGCAGTAGGACGACAAACCAAAAAAGTGACCTAGCTAAGAAGTCCTTTTGAGAGTGCTGTGTAAAAGCCCAAACTTGAGAACGCTTCCAGTGTGGTCTGACCCTTCAGTCGCCCTAGAGCCCCACCTGGGCCTTCCACGAGGCGGGGGCGGCAGGGAAACGGGTCACACCTTTGCTGTGTTAACATTTATTTCTTTGATAGCCAGCCGCCCTCATTAAAGGTCCCACAGACCTCCTGAAACAAAGTTATTTCTAAGCATCTGGTCAACCCTTGAGCTCATTCTCTTCCGAGCTTGAATTCTGCTGTGTCCACATACCTTCAAGGGGGGTGGGGGGGCGCGGTGGTTGTCATATATAGTCTATTTGCCCCAAACTTAATAAAAGTAAATCATTTGAGTATCTTGAAAATGCAAGCATCAACTTTTGTTCAAAAGATCTTAAAAGAGGAAAAATGCCAGAGTCGAGTATCAGGAGAGCTCAAAATTCAAGGATTTGACCTTTTGAAATTTTGGTAGTAATAACTAACATTTATTGAGAATTTAACCGAATGCGATTACCATGTGAGATAGGTAGTATGTTACCTCAATTTCAGTCAAGGAAATTGAGTCACAGAAAATTTATGTAATTTGCCCAAGATCTCACAGCTGATAAATAGTTGGACTCCAAGTAATGTACCTCCATAACTGACCTGTTAACACTAGGCCTTCTTGTTCCTCACACTTAAACCCATTCTGGAAATTCCCATCAGCTGTCAGGTGTTGCATTTACTTGATGTCTATTCTGGAGTCTTAAATAATGAGACAGCACAGATATAAATGCACCTCAGTAAACCAGTCTTCTGGACCTCAGCTATCTCCGAAAAGGAGGCAGTTGAAACTAGTCAGTACAATCCCTTCCTGCTAATATTCTTCCATTGGTTAACTTAACCCTACTTTGGTAGATTCTCAGCCCAAACAGAGTAGAGGATAGAAGGAAGAATCAAAAAACCAGGACCAGGGGAGGGGTGGAGGGAAAAAAAAGAAAAAAACAGGACCATCATTCCCCTGGGGTAGTGTTCCAATGAGAGTTGTAATCAATCAGAAAGCAAATCTGTTCAATGAGCTGCTTATTAAAATATATTATCCCAATAATCTGGACCTCTCTGTTAATGTAATCTTAGAAAAAAACTATTTTTTCCTTTTCTTCACTTCGGAGAAGTGTAGAGGAAGTGTACAGGTGGCTGAACATATAAACTGAAGGAAAAATTGAAATACCATTTTAAAAACTTAAAAGGTGGGTGTTGGGAACATATTGCAACCTAAAGTAGGCAGCATAAAGATACAATCTCTGGCTGGAACAAATAATATCTGCAAAAAAGAGTTTCCTTAGTCTGAATTTTCATTTTAGTAGGACATCATAGAACATAGTCTCTATTTGGGGGTAACTATATGAAAGTATTTAATATCTATTAACAGAATGGGGAAGATTTTAGCTATCTGGGAAAATTTAGCTGTGTCAGAGTCATAAAGTTGCAGGTAAAATACAGTATAGCAACTATTAATAATAATAGCTTAGATTTTGGAGTCAAACAGACCTAGGTTTTTTGCTGTCTCTGCCATTTATTAGCTATGAAATCTTGGGCAAGTTACTTACCCTTTCTAAACCTTAGTTTCCTCATGCATAAAAATGAGCATAGAAATGGCACCACAACTACATGTCATAATGTTATAAAAGTGTGCCTATATGAAGAGCTCTGAACAATGCTTGGTGCAGGGTAAAACTTAAGAAATATTGTATTAGAGTTCTGCAAAGAAACAGAACCAATAGGATTATATATAGACATGTAGAAAGAGATTTATAGTGAGAGTTGGGGTCAAAATTATGGAGGCTGAGAAGTCCCACAATCTGCTATCTATAAACTGAAGGCCCAGGAAAGCAGGTGGTATAGTTCCAGTTCAGACCCAAAGACCTAAGAACCAAGGGAGCCGATAGTATAATTCAGTAATTCACTCTGCTCTCACCTTTTTATTCTATTTGGGCTCTCAACGGATTGGATGATGCCAGCCCCAATGGTGAGTTAGGATCTTCTTTACTCAATTTACCAATTCTGATGCTAATCTCTTCAGGAAACATGTTCAAAGACATACCCAGAAGTAATGTAACACCAGCTATCTGGGCATCCATTAGCCCAGTCAAGTTGACACATACTATTAATCATCCAAGAAATTTAATGCAATTATGAAAATTTTTCCCATATTAAAAGTACCACATTTTCATGTTTTTAATGAAGAAACTGGAAACCAATATTTTCAGCTAATAACTCAGTGATGATAGCATAAATTGTATGCAGGCCTTCTGACCAGTATCTGCTAGTTAGACCAGAAGCTCTTAAATGGAGATGAAAGGGGAAATAATTGAACTAATTATATACAATGCCTCACTGTCCTACCTCAGATAGCATCCACCCTATAAAAAGAGATAATCATCTTCTTAATTCTTAAAAACTTTGACATTTATTGAGTACTTGCTATGTTCAGGGAACTGTGTGGGATGCTGTAAAGAACAAATGATGCTTATAATCAAAAGAAGAAAGTCATATTCACAAAACAGAGTAAAGTGTTAAAAGAAAAGTACCATGTAAGGTCATTTTTTAAATGTTAAAATCAAAAGAACATGTCTAGACGAAAGGAAGTTGGCTGGAAGTCAAAAGACCTGAACTTTAACCCTAACTTTTCCACGAAGTAGCTATGAACTTCAGAAATTGGCTTAACTTCTCTGTGTCTTAAGTTTTACGTTATCGAATACGGATAATGGTAACCATTTGTCCTATCTCATAGGAGTGTTGTGAATCTGAGCATAAAATTAAGAATAGACTAAATTATTTTTAAAGCTATTAGTACTATTAGTATGAGAAATAATAACTAGTAGTAAAGGGATTTCAATACAGCAACCACATTGTTAACAACGGTCGCTAACTTAGATCAAAGAGTGAGAACGCTGAGCGGCGGTTACGTGTAATAGGATGGCAGAGTAGCAATGTGCTTGTCCTGGCTTCATTGCCCCTGCCTCCTGAAACGTCTATGATAATCAAAGTTTGCTAAAATGAAATTTTCCCTTCTCAACTTATTTCTAACTTTGAATATACCACTCAGGAGAAATCGGTGATCTGCCAAGCTGCTTTTGTTTCATAAAAATGGTCGTGTCATGAAATTAGAGCTCTGAGGCAATTATTTTGCCTATTGTATGCCCCTATACCCTGGAATAACTTTGATGACCCAGGACATTGAACCATACACATAACAACCCCAGTTAACTGATTGCCATCTTTAAGCACTTACAAGCTTACCCTAACCTGAGACCAAAAAATGGAATAGAGAATGTCACTCTTTGAGATCTACCATGGTTGAATCAGTAAATCACAGAGTGGGCTAAATAAGAGGTAGGGAGAAGTCCTGGCTGTACTATTTTCTAGTTTTACTACTGACATGGACCATAACAACAAATCACTTATCTTCAATTTCATTGTGTATGTGTTAGGAGATTTTTAAAAAATGATTTCAAATGTCCCCTCTTCCTCTAAAATTATATGATTCCCAAGAATTTCTGGACTTTTTCTATCTTCCTGAGCCTACAGTCGGTCTAGGTTTATTTAGCTAAAAGATGCAAACAAAACTATTTATTATTCATCAGTTTGAGAATAGCATTGCTTTCTAGTTGCTATATACATTTTAAGAACTACCTCTAATTTATTATATCTCTAATTAATCTTCCTTCTTAAAAATGTCTATTATTTCTCAGTGGCCTGTGAAGATTTCTGTTTTATATCTGTACATCTCGGGGAAACATTTCATTTTCCTCATAGATTTATTTGGCTTTTTTATCTTTATGTGAATGAGTCAAATCTCAATTAAAAGAACACCCCCTTCATGCTTATTTCCTGTAACATAAATATGCAATCTGTAACCCCTGATCCCTAGGTATAGAAAAACAAAGTACAAACTCTTTCATGCTTCCACATGTTTGCATAATAGTATTTGTGTCCAAATTATGAAGCATCCTAAATACAAATCACTGTAACCACCCAGGTTTCATCATAATCACCATCATCATTAGCAGCATTTATTGCATCTACTTGGGGCATTGCACTGGGTAAGAGGGTGTCATTTTCTCTATTCTGCCTAATATTTCAGGTTCTTTCTGTTTATAACTGTAAGATGAGTCCCCTTCCTGATAGATGTTGACATACTACAGCTTTTCTAAACAGCCTCATCTGGCTGCTGGGGGAGGAGTCACAGAAACCCTCTTCTGTTGCCAGCTCTGTA